TTACATCCTTTAACATCTTACCAACTGAAAGGTTGATCTTAGGAGGCATTATGCCAAGGAACACAATTTTTAGTTTTGGCAATGAGCAGAGAAAGTGTCCTTGGTGTCATGCGTACTTAGCATGCACACTGCAATGAGCCACAACTCCATTCCTAGGATATCAACTTATTTTTTTTTTAATTTATTTATTTATGTGTGTGTGTGTGGCCAGCTCAGCCCACCAGGGGGTGGGGCTGGCTGGCTTGTGGTGCTGGGGGATTGAACCGCGTCCCTGTGCTTTGCTAAGCTTGTTCTAAGTAGGTGCTTTAGACCACTGAGCCATCTCACCAGCCCTATCAACTTATTTTTGTCTTAAATTCTTTTTTCTTGTGTTAAATTCTTAATTTGATAGTTTGCCTATTACCACATAGACCCAACATTTCCATTGTAAAAATCCAGCACAAATTAGAATTACAGATCTTTATTTGCAAATTCGATCTGCCAACTTAGCGTTTTCCACCGACTCGTGGCGCAGAAACTTCCCCAGGCTTCACAGTCTTCTGCTTAGGTGCTGCCTCTGTGGGGGCCTCAGCAACAGCCAGGGCAGTCCTCTTAGATGCTGGCTTAGCCTTTTTTGCTTCCTTGGCAGCCCTGACAGCGTGTTCTCTTTGGGCCTTTCTAACTTCTGGTTTCTCATTCCTCTTGGTCATTATGTCAGCAAGAGATGCACCAGTGACAGCCCTCTGAAATTTGACTGCTCGTCGAGTTCTTTTCTTTTGAATTTCTTCCGACTGCCCCTTTTTGTGCTTTCTTCTGTACAGGACAGTCCAGTTTATGTGCGGAGGATTTCTCTTGGAAAGGAATGCAGACTCGATTTTTGCATTCAGAAACTGGAAGACCTTCCCAGTGGTCCTGGCGTAGTGCCTCCTGTGTCTCGGGTGGCTCTTGTAGCCGCTGAAGCTGCACAGCTCGACCTTCACGGTGGCAGCCAGCAGTCAAGGCGGAAGATGGTGAAAAGTCCTATTTCTACAGTAACAAGAAAGGAAAGAGAAAACTCAGTGCACAAAGTGCTTTAAAAAACACTTAAGGACCACATAACCGGATTCCACACATTGCACCTACTGAATTACCATCAACCCGATGCTTCCCTTTCTGATACCTAAGGTACTTGAGCAGTTTGGATGTAATCCCTTCCCTGGCTAAGCGATTTCCATACTCAGAAGCTAAATATTCTTTGTTTGAAAAACATGTGTGGACGCTCTGTTAACCTCTACAGATTTCCTGTTCAGTTCTATCTCAGCAAACCACAATCCCATGTACACTGCTCCTCAATCAGTAAACGAGAGGTTCTGGCTGCCTCGTGTGCCTTCTGTTCCCCACGAACAACTGGTCACCCCAGATCCCCCCTCTACTCCACTTTGTCTTTTTCTCTTTCCTCCACAGTGTGCCTTATCACCTGGCAGAAGATTGGGGCTCTCTGCAGGGGCCTCTGATCCTGGGGAGTCACAGACCCCGAGGCCTCTCAAGGGCTGGAACCACTGTCGGGGCCCTGTGGCCCAGGTTAGGCAAGGACAGGATCGCCGACGCGGAGCACTTTCTAGAGAGACACGATTGTCGCCACTGCCTGTGAGCGGGAGCCCTCGTGGTTTCTGGAAATCCGAATTCCAGAGGCGGTGGCAGCAGCTACGCAGTCCTCGCATCTCCAGACCCAAGCGGGAACAGAACAGCGAGCCCTAGGAGCAGGCACATGGTCCTAGCAGGGACTTTTCAGGAGAACCTACAATTTGCCAGCAAAGGGTAAGTGCGATGAATGGTGAATTTTTTGTTTCCCGCAAATGTAAACCGCTTGAAAGCAAAAGATCGTGTGTTCCCGCCCGGTTTCGAACCGGGGACCTTTCGCGTGTGAGGCGAACGTGATAACCACTACACTACGGGAACAGTTGAACGGTTTATCCACCGGACAGTGTGAAGGCGCCGCCACGCCCGGCCGGGACCCGCAGCAGCGCGGAGGCACCGACAGGGGGCACGCTCGGCTTCGGGCGGCGCACCCGCAAGAGCCCCTGCCCCGGCTGCTCCGTCGGTCCTCCGCACAAAGGACGCAGGGAGGAACTCAGCGGCCAGGCCGTGACGCCCCCCTGGCCGGGGAGACCCGTCAGACTCGGTTAGGAGCGCACCGGCTGCCCTGCGTCCGCCCCTGCGAGCTGCCCGGCGGCCTCGCCTCCTGCTGGTGGCTGGCGATCGTGCAGCCCCAAACTCACTGCCAAGCTGACACCTTCTTCCCAACCATCCTCTTCATAGTTCGCCATCTCTTCTCAAACCTAGTGGAAAAATCACAGGGCTTACCTGTCTTTCGGTCCTCGTGCCACATGAAGACCTCGGTGTCATTCACACCTTGTATTAATTAAATAAACGCGTCCGCTTTTCTCTTGTTGGTCTGTCTCTTCTCTCAGAGGCCCTGGCACGAACTGGGCCTGACCCAGGAAAGCTCTCTTTTCCCACAAAGGTATGGAGGGTATGATTAGGACGGCGGAGGAGGAGAAGGAGGCAAGCGGGAGGGAACGCCTCGTAATACAGGGATGGGTCTGCATGGAGACCCCGCTACGCATTAAGAACACCAAAGAAATTAGGATTTTTTTTTTCCTGGCATGAAATAAGATTGGAGGGTCGGAGCTACCAATTTTCTCCACTTCCTGTACAGAATTCATTCCGCATTTCCAGGTCAACGCTCCCAGTGCTGCCTGGTAGAGGCAGCCCCTCAGCCCTAACCTGAGAAGGTCAGGACACCCGGTCTGCAGTTTGCTGTGGCCCATGTGGGGTAAGTGGCTCTGCTGGAGCTACTCAGGACCTAATATCTCTTGCTTTTGTGATCACATGTGGGTAAATACAAAGTATGACCCTTGAGAAGATGTGACATACAAAAAGAACTATATGATATGGTCAGTTATCAAGGTGACGGAAAGGAAAGTTGCCTCAGACCACGTTCACTGGCCCTGAGCCTGCTGGGCAAAGCTGCCGATTCACTGTCACAGCTGCAGGCGCCGAGGAGGCCCAAGTGTTCCTGGCCAGTTGATCCACATATGGACCCACATTAGGGTCACCAGGAGAAAAGGAGACACCTGCACTCTCCCATGTTCTCAGAGCAAAGGCATGGAGCACCAGAATAGATGTCCCATATGTGGCGGTGTGCCTTCTCCTGCGCTCCAGGCTTCGGAAGGCCTTGCACCCAGGTCTTAAACAAATCCTCATGTGGCTCTGTGTGACAGCAGCACCTACAACCCACTGTGCTGGAGTTCTTATCGCAAGGGAGAGGCTGAAACAGGGGACAGAGGTCAGGTGCTGGCACCAAATCCTAACGCGAGATGGTGCTCTCATGGGCTGAAGTGTCCGACCCCAAGTTTACTGTTGCAAGGCCCTGGTTAATTCCAACGTCTCTTCATCCAGAACTAAGGACTTGTCTTAGTTACTTTTTCATTTGCCAAGACACAATATTGGATGCTCACAGCTGAGAGGAAGAAAAGTCTGTTTCAACTCAGTTCGTAGGGTTTTCAGGCCATAGACAGCTGGCTCCAAGGCCGACCAGCATGCAGAGGAGAAATAGTCCACAGCAGGGGTGGCAGGCAATGGGGACACCCTCCAGGCCATGCCACCACCCCTATGGCCCGTGTCCTCCAGCCAGGCTTTACTACCGAGCATCCCATGTAGCTGTACACACCTCAGGGGAGTTCTGCACTGGTTAATCACCCGGAGGATCCGGTCCCCTGCCAGAGCACTGCCTGGGAGCACAGGAGGGCTGAGGCAGCACGAGACAGGAGCCATAACAGACCTTTCAGGTGTTCATGAACATCAAGTGAGATCTCAGAGTGGGACTTCAGTCAGTAGGACCACTGTCCTCGCAAGAAGAGGGAGACACCAGAGCTCTCTCCGGCTTTCTGCACAGAGGAAGAACCAAGTTCAGGCAGTGATAGAGCGGTCAGCAGCGAGCCAGGGAGCGGCCTGGCCGACACTCACCCCAGAGCTCCCTGCTGGCCTCCAGAAGGTGAGCAAATAAATTGTGTTTAAAGCCACCTGCTTTGTGCTATGTTGCTACGCAGCGCTTGTTGACCAGCACAGGTGTATTAATAACCAACAGTCTGACTCGGGACTCCTTGATCTCCATGGCCCCAACTGTCTCGTTTCTTCTCTTGCCTTAAAAAAACAATTTTCTCCTGACGCTTTTCAAGGTAGGGGTAGTGCATCGTAGCAATGAAAGTGCTAGTGAAGTGGAGGGTGAGAGTGTCCCGAGAGGGACGCGCGCTGAACCTTCCTGGGGGCGCTGCTGCCCCCGCCTGAAGTCTCACCGCCAGCAGAGCCTGAAAGATCTTCAAAGCCGGCTTCCAAGTGTTCTGTTTGTTGATCACGTGATCTCGAGGAGTTATTTTGTACAACACCTACACAGTCTCCCGTAAATGCTTCCCACACTAGCATACTGTCCCCACTGCTCTAAACTTTGCCTTCCTGTGTTTGTGTGTGTGTGTGTGCGCGCTCACACATAATGCATACTCATTTTCTTTGAAATATACATAGTACTTCACTGTGGAGTTGTGCAGTAAACTATGTAATTAAATAATTCCAAAGTATTTAGTAAATAAGTGAATAGATTAACTACTTAATAAGCCCTAGTGTCTCAGGGTTTCCCTAGTCTTGCAGTCACCAGCTGTGGGCTGAATCTGCAGAATAGTCCTGTGGGCGAAATGCACTGTGCGCGTCCAGGCGCAGCGCAGCAGAGCGGGGGCCTGGGCACCGTCACACCAGCCTCGCTCCCTGACACAATGAAGAAAATCCAGGCAATGCATAAGACCCGAGAGAAAAAAGAGAGCCCTGAAGCCAGGGACTCCTGCCTCCTCTCAGAAGGTGAGGTGTGCAGGCAGGACAAAAGGCGGCGGGCCACGCCGGGGTTGGAAGGCAGAGGAGGAGCAGGTGGCGGCCAGCCCTCCTCCCGAGCGCACCGTATTTTTGAGGCCCCCCGCGCTGTCGGCCTGCGGGCTGTGATGGCCGAGTGGTTAAGGCGTTGGACTCGAAATCCAATGGGGTCTCCCCGCGCAGGTTCAAATCCTGCTCACAGCGGCTCCGATTCCCTTGCAGTGGTCGTGCTGCTTTTGATTCTCTTTTTCGTCTGGAACAGCCAGCCTGCGCCCGCGTTGTGCCCTGCCCCTGCCCGCCTGCCCGCCTTTCCCGGCCCTCTCCGGCCGCTCCTGCTCCTGAGAGCACGCGCGTGCCTTCATCCCGAGCGCACCATTGCCGGGCCCAGGCTGCAAAGCGCCTGCTCGTTTCTCTAGGAGCCTGCTGTGTGGGAAAGCCCGGGCAGATCCCAGTGGCCAGGAGCAACTGAGGGAACGTTGCTTTTAAAAACTAGAAAACCTGAGTTCAATCCCCGGTTCCGCAAAAATAAATAAATACAAACTAGAAAACCGCCCTTATGAACCCGAGCAGGCAGGCAGCTCCTGAGATACCTTTTGTCTGGCGGTAGCCGGGGCCTGGGACCACAGACGCCCGCGAGAGAAAGCAGAAGTGAGGACCGGACCGGCCAGCCCTCTGCGCCGGGCCGCGCATCTCGATGAGGACCCGCGACCTGTGCGGGCTCGGGGCCTTGGTGTGCGCTGGGTCCCCGCGCCTTCCCGGCGCGCGGAATCACTCCAGCCACCGGACTCAGGAGTGAAGAAGGAAAAGCAGTTCCTGCCTACTTTCCGTTTCTGTTAAATCTGAAGTGAGCCGCGGGGATCCCTTGTAGGTGACCCAGACCAGCACCCGGGTCCGTGCAGAGGGGTCCAAGGAGCGCCGCCTGCGTCCGCCCCGGGGGATCGTGGAGGTCAGTGTTGTGAGGGGATTGAAAATTGTCCTCATTTCTGGCCTCTGCACGAGTTGGGGTTCTGCGATGCTCCTGCTAAGATCGAGCAGCCAGAGCGCACTGGGTACAGGTGGGCGGTGGGTGCAAGGTAAACGCAGACCAGCTTGTCCGAGGAGGTTCTGGGCTCGAGTTCTGGTTGGCTCCGCCTGACACTATTGGGTTGGGGTTAATGCTTAGAAACTTTTTCTTTATGTTATTCAAAATTACTTCAAACATTAGAGGAGACTAAATCAGACACAAGCTTAAATATATCATGGATTCTCTTATAAGAAAAACTCAAAGTATAAGGAGCAGAGTAAGATGGAAAGGTTAAGATATGCCCTGTAAGGCGCCCACCGCCCACAGGAAAGCGCTCTGCAAACAGGAACCACTGAAAACCTAACAGTGCAAATAATTAAATTGTGTCATAGCCTGACATTACAACAGTGGACAGTAGCAAAAATAAAATATAGCTTCATGAATAAAATAAGGAAAGTAAATTCTTTTTTTGTTTTTTTTCCTTTTTTTGAACTACCAGGGATTGAACTCAGGACCCTGCACTTGCCAGACAAGTACTTATTCTACTGAGCTATCTCCCCAGGCCCTGGAAAATAAATGCTTAAAGTTCACTGAAAAATAATGCACTTGATATTGAGAGATGGGGTCTGCTGAAGGCATTCTTTGAAGCACAACCCGAACAGCCAGATATGAGACAGTAAGAGACAGAGGGGAGTGAGGTTCTGATGCGAGCTGCGGGGCAGAGGAGCCCCGGAACGACATGCTGAGAGGCCAGACAGAAAGGCTGTGAGCTGTGAGTCTGCGTCTCTGAAGTGTCCAGAAGGAGCAGCTCTAGAAGCAGACAGTACTCGAGGTCACCAGGGGACAGAGAGTGGCCACTGAGTTTGTGTTGGAGGTGATGAAATGTCCTGAGATCAGAAAGTGATGGCAGGCACGCAACTAAGGGAGTGCAAGAAAGCCACCCAGGTGTGAGAGGTCTGGACGGTGGCCTCCTAACTCCCCTCTCGAAGGGCACCACCACACTTCTGTCCTCAGCGCTGGGCTTCACACCGCCACAAAATCACAGGACATTGGTCACAAAATCACAGGACATCAGTCTTTGTCAGAAGCCATCTTCTAAGGCCCCTCTCATGAGACATTCAACAAGTTCCATTTTCAGCCGCGTCACCAATGTCAAACATCTAGAGAACTGTTTCCCATCAGATAACTTATATTCTTCTTCTGTTTTCCCCAGTTCTACATTAAAAGTTTTCCTTGCACACCCACTAGTTCTTCTGCTGTTTAAATTTTTATATGTCGCTGCTACTGTGTCCTCCCATTTTTGTCCTCTTGTGGTCATGATCACTGCTGTCCTTCTCCCCTCCTCTCCTCTTCCTTTGTTCCTCTTCTCTCTCTTCTCTTCCCTTCTTCCTCTTTGGTGGATTTCTGGCTAGAGAGGCATCAGACCCATCTTCAACGCACACCCTGGCTAGCTCTGCCTCACCGTGACTTCCATCATGCTGAACATGCAGACGGCCAGAAAGCAGGGCCATGGGCCTGAAGCAGGTGCCAGCACATGGGTCCCTAGGAAACCCCCAGGACTCTAGCACCCACCTGGATGCGGAAAGTGTTGTCCCTAACCAACAAAGCAAACTCTAGCTTGTACAGAAATACATAACGGTCCTCGACCCCATAAGAGAGCTGAGGTCATAGAGTACCCAAATTGTCTAAACTCTAAGAAAAAGCAGGTGCACCCAAGCAGAAATGGGACATGTAGTAACAGTTCACACACTGCATTGGGATGAACATGGGTCCTCCACTCACTGAGGCTGAGAAAACTCCAGCTACAACTTGGCGTCTTATGAATGGCTCTAGTCTGAGTGTGGATCAGAATGAAATTCTACAATCCTAGGATCAAATACTCAAGTTGAGTTTACACATTCTTGTAGAAAATAGAGAAGCAAAATGATATCACTATGAGAGAGAGAGAGAGAGAGAGAGAGAGAGAGAGAGAGAGAGAGATTTGGCCTTATTAAATGGACTCTGTAGAGAAGGGGAAAATAAACTTCCAAAACATATCTGACCATTGTCATGTGTAGAAAATGTATGAAGAACTCTCAAAACGCAATACTAAGAAAAGCTAAAATGAGCATGTTACTAGAGCACACACTCGTGAATAACAACTAATCTACCGGGAGTGGGGCTCGAACCCACGCAGACTCACGTCTATTGGATCTTAAGTCCAACGCCTTAACCACTCGGCCATCCCGGTAACACCAAGTTTGGATTCCTTCCTGTTTATACTTTGGTCTATTGAAGGATTTACTTACCTTCAACAAGGACCATTCCACCGCTAGTAGGCGCCACACATCACTCTTTATGTTAGGGAAAGCCAACTCATCCCCGACCCCAGGGGACTTGGGTTAAAATAAGGACTATAGATTAAAAACGGAAAGCACAGGACACAATAGGGATGGTCACTTTTCCAGACCCTATACTGTCAGCACTTCGAAAAATCAAAGAGGAAGGGGGGATGCCTCCACTTGGGCCACTCGCAGCGTCCCAGGAAACGGTTCTGCCCGCTGAATCCAAACCCTGCTGGAAGGACGCTCTTTGCACTCCGCATCCGAGGGCTCCTGCTGGCCAAGGCTACCCGCCACACCCCAGGAGCTCAGACCCGCAGGAGCCGAGGCCCTGCGCGGAAAGGCGAGCTCCGTATCAGTCCTTGGGTCCGGAGAGGACTTGTGGAGAGCGAGGTCCCCGCGCGCGCCACGGCTTCGTTTGCTGTCCCATGACTGTGATTCTTAACGTGCTCCATACGCTGATGAAATACACTTGCCTACATAGGACTGCCAGAAGTTCATAGAAATGTCTATGGAACATGTCTTTATGACCCAAAGGAGAGAAAATAACTGTAAAAAAAAAATCTTATTTAAAAGCCAAATAATTGGGTTGGGGAGATGGCTCAGTGGAATAAGCGATTCCCTGGCAAACGCAAGAGCCTGAGTTCAATCCCCAGTTCTGGGGGTAAGAAAAAAACCAAATAATTTAGCAGAACACTGGCATGGTTTGCTCTGTGTAAATCACTTATTCAAGGAAGTCTACAATAGAAAAGTAAATAAGAATGACAAAAATAGAAGATCTTGGAAATATTTTAAAAGATGAGATCTTAATATGTAAATAATAAGACTGGGAGTGGTGGTGCCCGCCTGTAGTCCCTGCGCTTGGGATGCTGAAAACAGGAGAATCACTACAGTCTGATCTATGTAGTGAGACCCTGTACTATATATATATTAACAGGATTATTAGGAAACAGGTAAAGACTAAAAACAGGATATTTATTTAAAAATTCATAAAATTGTAATTGTATTTTAGATATATAATAGGATTAGCAATTTATAACGTGCGACACAAAACGAGATTCCTTGACTCCTTTTAGACTGGCGGGATTAGGAGACCGGGTGTGTGGGCGAGGGGAGCTGGAGCGCAAGAGCGCTCGCATCCTGCGGGCAGAATTTATCCTCCTGCAGCATCCCGGGAAGGGGCAGGCGTTGCACCGAAGCGAAGACTGCCCACGCCCAGGTGTCCCGACGCTGGGCGCCCAGTCGTAGGGGTCCCCACACACCTGGGACCGCAAGGGACAGACTGCTTCTGTGGGGATGTTACTGGCGGCAGCGTCTGGTCCTCCAGAGTCAGACTGAGCCTTGAAGACAGTGAACCAAGAGTGGCGAGCGCCGCCGCACCGGCTGCCGCGCGGCCGTGGGAAGGAATGGAGACGCGCACGCAGCAGTACGCTCCGCTTTAAAGAGCAACTTTAAACTTTCTCCAGACGGCTCTCCTCCTCGGCTCGCACTTTGTTTCTTGTCGCTCAGCCTTGTAAACCTTTGCTCTCAGTCTTCTTTGGGAACCGCTGGGCGCAGGGCGAACCTCAGCCCGGTCCGCACGGGGAGACTAAGTGGGCCCTGAAGGCGGGGTGGATTTGTTGCGACAGGAAAAGAAATAAATAAACAAACAAATAGTAATCTGAAGGATAAAGTTAAAGTTCGCTTTTAACTGTTATACAAATATATGCGACCACTCAGCCGGTTGTTTCCGTAGTGTAGTGGTTATCACGTTCGCCTAACACGCGAAAGGTCCTCGGTTCGAAACCGGGCGGAAACATGAGGTACTAGTATTTTTGTAAATTTGATCTGAGTTCACATTTAGGAAATAAATTATCTGTGTTTTTGTAAATTAGGTCTGA